CGCACACGGCCCCCAGACAAATCACAACTGTCCAAAAAACCGTCGCCTCATGTGACTTGTCACCCATCATCATCATTCGTGTGTGGCGGTGTTTTAGCGTCTAAGCTTCGTCGTTTACCGGATCAATCGGTACTACACCTACAACAACCTAAACCCGAGATTTCTGGTAAGAGAAGGGGAGGTGCCAACTGCCACGTGGTCTGTTGAGATAAAGCAAAAAAATATAGGGTTTCGTCGGTAGGATGGAGATTGGAGAAGGGTAAGATAGACACACACGCAGGGATCTTGTAGCGGTCAAGGCCAGCCGACCATGGATGCAGGATGCAGACGCAGCGGCGACGACGATAAGATCAACGTGGTGCGAAGAAGCATGCTTTGCTTGGCTTCTGTAACACACCGCCTCCCAAGTCCCAACCCAAACAAATCCCACCCCCTCTTCTTGTTGAATTGTTTCGCTTGGTGTCGCTTCCTTCAAGTTCGGCTTCGTCGGCCGTATCGTACAAAAGCGTAGACTCTCTCATCACTCGGCTCACTCGGCTCCAAAAGATGCTTTTCGTACGTAGGCTAGGGTGTAAATATCCCTGTATAAGTTAAGTAAAAGGCCGTTAGGCGTACTTTTCTGGTGGGGCCCCACACTCCAACACCTGGTCTCTTTTTAGGTGGGACCCGCTTGGATTTATACCACGGATGGAGGACCTCTCTCCTTTCTGATACCTCCTATTCCCACTCTAAACCATTACCAAAAGAGACATTTCACATCTACTCTCCTATTTATTTTCATGACCCTGTTTCTAGACAATTTCAATTTGTTGCTTGCACCCGTTGGATTAAAGTATTCGTCTAATTCCACACGATCTACAATGGTGGCTGTTGGATTCCCGAGTCGAAAGATTCCAATCAGATGTCCAAGGAATAAAGGGCAGACCAGATCTCCGTCGTGTTAACTACGACTGTCTCCAAATAATGGACTCTGTATCATGATTCATGAGGTTGCATTCAAGACGATTACGATTCTACGGCAAAGAAAAGTAAAAGACCACAGACACACATAAGAAATGGGCTTTGGGATTATTACTCTTGATGTGCTGCTGGCTGGGTTATCCCCAATTATTAACAACATTACTGATTACAGTGGGCTTTTAATTAGTCATACAGATGCAAACATTTGAAATCTAATTGGGAAAAGAGGGAACACGTATGTGATTTGTACTTTATCTTCTCTTAAAATTACAAAATTCGCCTTATTTACATATAGTAATCAAGGACGGCTAGCGGAGGAAGCCCGCAAATTGTGTAGGGGGGTGATGCAAATTCGGAATCTCTCAATCATATACGATACCCCCTATTTGCGTGTGCATAAGAGAAGAGGTATTGGGGGATTCCTTATTCCTAATTGCAGTTGAGAAACCAACATCTTGTTTCTTTGCTTCCAACTGACCTCATAAGTCAGTAAGTCACGTATCAAACAACTCTTCACGCATGAATTTGAGTTGGTATATGTGCTTTTCCCTCTTTTGTGTCTCTCTCTTTCCTTCTCTCCACGCTTTAAGAGATGTATCAGAAGAAATTTCGCCATAAATCAAAAGATAATAATAATAATAATTGGATTTTTCACAGTAGAAACCAACCCATGAAGTTGAGTTACAAAATAACATGGTTTTGAAAAGGGACTGGACCTGATAATTGAATCGGAAAAACTGGAAATTGGTCAAATAATTGATTCTATTTCACCTTAAAATCTTTCTTTTTTTTTTTTTTTGCAAAAAAAATATTGATTTGATCAACAAACTGTTGATCGGAACATTCAAACTTTGACCTGAACAACATATTTTTTGCTGTTTTTTATTTTGTTTAATCAGAATTAGCCATCTATTCAAACCCGATAATAACACAGATAATGGAGTGTGGAGGGGCGAGTGCTGAAAGTTGGTTTGGTGAAGGTTGAAGCCATCCATGTTCATGTTGCTTAGCCTTGTGGAGTAGTGGTAGGCCATATCTAACCGATTGTTAATTGAAATTACCTCAGCCTCAGGATCAGCTACCGCAAGGTGGTGGTCTCTTTTAATTTGTGTTTCTTGAACCTTCCACTACCAGAAGAAAATTAGGCGCCATCTAACTATTTGCTTCATTTGCTTAAATTACGCCAAGGACCCAACTAATCCTAGGGGGACTGATTGGTTGGCCCAAAAATACATTACCAGAGTAAATTTCGTCATCACAAACAGCCATTTTCCCCCCAAACTTTGCCTTGAGTATCGAGATCCTTAATCTAAACTGCATGCTCCGATCAACAATCCTAGATATGACATCCTGGTTCCTGAATGATGATACCAACTACCAATGCCAAGCTGTTAAACCATGTTAATAAGAAATCGAATTTTTTGTTGTTTGGTTGATGAGCAAACCCATTTTGAGAAGAAAACCGGTTTTCTACCTTTTTCTTTACCATTGTGTCTATGCTAACTAAAGAGATGCTTAAGCTAGCTAGTTTTAGGGCTGAGCCAAATTTCAGGTAACCGGGTTCAACTGTTTTTTTTTTTTTTTTTTTTCATGCACACCGTAAAAGCATGGGATTCCGATTGTACATTGAGAATATCTTTCCACGAATTTAAAATACGTGTATAGAAGATATTCTCAATGCCTTTGTTATTGGCAATATGTGAGCATAATTTTTGCTCGCAAGAGATTCAGGCTAGATGAAATCTCCAATTTTTTTTTTTTTTTCTATAAAAATATATCACCTGCCAATGTTGTAACATGATTTGAAATAGAAGGTTCCACTTGTATGGACTATGGTGGGTTGATAGAGTACAGGAGATTCCATCTTCTTATAAGCTGGCCATAGGGGGGTAATCAGAAAGCCAAAAGTCTCAATGGCTTTTGTTAAAAAAAGAATGGTTTTAAAATGGCTAATGAGAATTGTGTTGGCATTATTTGGTTGCCCACTGGATAATAATTTCTGCACAAATTCTCTCCTTCAGATTTGAAAAATAATCTGATAAAAATTTTCTAATAAAGCTAGTCACCAAGAGAGATAAAACAAAAGAGGTCTATTTGGTTAACAAAACACTTACCGGAAAGTTGTAGGAACCTTCCCAAACTATTAAGGGCCCACAAGGCCAAAGGAATTGTATCAATAAGATGAACTGATGAAGTGGTCTATTTGGTTAATAAGTGCTCCATCTCTGCTTCCCTTCTCTTATTGTGTTGACTTAATTTTATTCGTAACATAATGAGCCGGATACCAAAGCAGAAAGCGTCAAGGTTCTCAACTTCCACGGTCTAACCATTGATCAGCCTCAAGAATCAGAATATTTTGTGGTCTAGATCGAACTAAAAAACCGTTTGTTCCGATTGGTCTAGTGCAAATGGAAACACGTGGCGTAACTACTACCTGGTATTAAATTGCCTCTGTGATCTTCCATGTTAGAAATCATGAATGAGACTAGATTTGTCACAATATTGTAATTGCCATTAGACAAGGATCAAAGGAACTTTGGCCTTATTCTTCGTTGGAACAAGCCTCACGTTGAGTTGCTTTCTAGATGCCCGGCCCAGACCTAATATTAGTTCACCAGGAACACATTTACAACCTTTTGCCCTGATATTTAACAATGGTCCTTTCATGTTTTAAAAATCAATATTCACCATACGCATTTTTTGTGTATCAGGGTGCAATTCATAAGCACCAATACGTTGCTCTATTTTAATCTTCTATCATGTGGTGTATATTTTTTTAACATTCCGTTTTTCATCACTGCATATTCAAGAACGTAAAACGTACGGTATTAAATAATAGTAATAGTAGTAGTAGTGCAATCAGATTCTTGGTCCGGAAGAAAAATCTATCAAGTCCTTAAAATAGTAGCAAACTAAGGTGCATGTGTTAATTAAGGACATACCCCCCTTAGAGCAATTCCGGAATGGGGAAAGGGGAAAGGGGAATTGGGAAGGCTCCGAATGACCCCACTTTACTTCCTCAAATCTGGGCTCATTGACATATTTTGCCTTGAAAGTTTTATTTCCACCATTAGGACTTCAATCATAAAATGTGCCATTCTTGTGGTTCTACCTCAAGGAAGAAGATTCTAATAATCCATCAACAACTTCCTTGTCTTGTATATAGGGCATGAAATGGAGCGGGTTGCTTTATACCTACCTATACTTAGTTGTTGGGGTCTATCTATTCTAAACTATGAAGTATGAACCCCCTATTCGGACGTGGATATGGATCCGGCCGAAATCCCATTCTCTCACTTTCGGTTCATCTATTGAAAAATCTGATTCAGAAGAAGACATTGGGGAAAATGAAATAAAACGTATGCGGATTGGATCTTCTTTTTCCTCTCTCAATCCCACTACCTAAAAAGGCAAACTGATGGCCTCTTGGCCCCCTTCTCTGCGTGTTTTGCTTCTGCAAGCAAAAACCAACCGCTAGCCACAGCCACAGGCTACACCCTTTTTACACATGTAATCTGCTCATCTCGTCGACGTGTTCACATTTCGTCTTCCCTTTTTTGGATTTGACTCCTCAATCAATCTACGCGTCTTAATCCTTCATTAGACAATATTGAAAGCTTTCACCACCACAAATCCAGGCCTAACATAAAAATATCCCGACCCAAATGACCAAACTCACCCCACCGTTCACCCACAGTAACTGATCATTAACGACCCCAATCCAACCAAGGACGTTTTATTCATTTTATTATTATTAACCCCCTAACGGTAAAACGGATTGTCCTTCCACCCTTGGTTGCAAAAAGGAGCCTAGCCTAGTCGAGCCGAGTGGAGCTGCGCTGGAAGCTGAGCTAGTAAAGGAAATGATAAAAAAGAAAAGCAAAGCCGTGATCGGTGGGGCCGGATCGGACCGGACTTCAAACCCTAAATTAAATGGAGTTCATAAAACAAAAAGATGAAAGGACACCAAAGAAGATAACAGTAGTCAGAAATAAATAAGAAAGGGCGAGACGTCCGTGATGGTCGAAGCATCCGATCAACACGCGCCTGCATACCTCCCTAATTCCCTATTATTATAATCTCTCATTGCTTTCCTCCCTATAAAACCCTCCCTCCTCCTCTGCTCCCCCACACGCATCACTTTTTCATTTTCTCTCTCTACAATTCCAAACCAACTCAACTGCAAACCTAGCTTTCTCTCTCCACACTACTAATATCCCCTTCCCCGGTTCCCCCCCCCCTCTCTCTCTCTCTCTCTCCTTCCTCTGTTTCTAGTTTCCACCCTCCCTCCCTGGAGGCTTCAAGTCTGTTAGACTTGCTCCCTTCTTTCTTTCTCTCTCCACACTCATGGAAGACAGCACCACCACCCCTACTGCCACCAACAACAAGCGAGTCCGGGATGACTCGGAGGACTTGGAATCGGACTCGCCCGAAGCAAAGAGAATCCGAGACAACCTCCTTGATATCCTGGACGACGCTGATACTGTTCTAGACCGGAACCCCGGAAACCAAGACCTGGCTTCTGTAATAAAGAGTTTCGAAGAAGAAATTAGTCTCCCACCATCCCAGCTGCCACCTGAAGTGGAGGTGGCTCATTCCACCGAGTCTCAGCCCGACCTTGGATACCTTTTAGAAGCCTCGGACGATGAGCTTGGGCTCCCACCAACTTTCTCCTCGTCTTCCGGTGAAGAGGAGAAGAACGAAGAGGATGATATATTATGTGTTTCCTCTGATGCCATTGGATTCGATCAGATCTGGGGGTTTGATGACGACATCCCGAGCTACGACTCATTGGGTTTCGGGATCAGTAGCGAGAACAACAACAATGACGAAGGCAACGCCGGAGAGTTTGTGGCATTGGGGGGGTTGTTTGATTATTCAGACGTATTTTCTGGGTCATCCGATTTTTCGGACTCTTCGTGGCGCCCCGAGTCGCTGCCGGCTCTTTAAACCGGGTTTCGGCATGCCGGATTTTGGACTGGTACCGGCCGGTAGTGGGCTCTATGACAGTTATGTAACAGTATGTAAATTAAAGAAAAAACGAAGAAGCAAAAAAAAAAAAGCACAGAAGAAAGGGAAGATTGGTGTTAAATCAAAAGGCAGTAATCTCCTTAACTCGAGAAATTCGTTGGTTCTTTTAAATGTCATACGTCTCATCTCGGGAAAATATTGCATCTCTCGACTTTAAACTGAAGCAGACGCCACGCTGATGCCCACCGATGAACGAATGAGATGATGATAATTAAATTAAACTTCATCTTATGTGGGTCCCGCATGCTTATAGTTATAGGGGTGCTTTTGGTCATTTCGCTATGTTGTTCTCTTTTGCAACTTATAAACTGATTAAACTCAAACTATCTCTTCTCACTTTCTGTATCCTTGAAGTTACAACTCTCTCTTCTCACTTTCATGTTTCAATGACTAAAGGTCGCTAGTCCACATTGAGACGTTCTCATATGGAGTCGGTTTCCTTTCAAATAAAAACCAAACTTTTGATAATAGAAAGAAATCAAACTTTCCAAGCTCACTCTTCTCACTAGCGATACTGACCAGTAATTTCTTCATATCTGAAAACCTTCCAACTCTTTTGTTCTAATGATTGTAGAAAGAATGTTTAATACTGAAATCCCTCATTGTTTTATTGCATTTGCATGTCGTTAGTTAATTCCCGCAGTTGGACTCTAGGTTGGAATGTGATGGTGCGTAATCCGGCTGATCCTATCTGTTAGTGACCTTGTCTCTCAATGGAGCTACAGGGAGCCTGAAAACAGAGAAGATGGGGAAGCTCCGGGGGGAATCCGGTATGAATGTTTCGAAATTCAAGTTAGAATTTTTAGGCAAGATAAAACCAGATGGTGAAAAGTTCACGTCTCTTGTTCTTGGGGGTAGGGAGCCTTTTATAACCACCTCGTGTACTTATTCCTAAGCTTCTGTCAGGTCGGGTACGATTATCTCTGTTCTCCTGCCAGTTTGGGTGTCATCCCCTTTGATGGACAGAACCGCCACTGCTCCCTTTTGTCGGAGCCGTCTCTGCGATTAGCGATGATGGTGGTAGGTGGCGGTGGTAGGAGACCGTTGAAGTGCGGCTGTCAAGCGTCAGATCCCAAGTCAGTCAGGTGCGCCGCCCTTGGATACGGATCTCTTCGGTGTCAGGTATGGTACGTTTGTTCAGTTCAGCGTCTCAGAGGCGAAGTGCTGGAGTGGCGAACGAGGTGAAGTCTTGAGTTCGGATAGGGGAGTGTCCCGAACTGCCATAAGGCGGGCCAGTTCGGGTTACTGCCTTGTGTGGCTCGGGGCCTAAGGGAGAGTTAGGGTTCCTTGTAGGGAGTTCGAGCTCCTCGTAGGGAGGTCGGGCTCCTCGTAGGGAGTTCGGACTGCCGGTTTCTTTCCTTTGGTGCTTGCGCCCTGGGTGCGCTGTTGTGCCGAGCTGCTTGCCTTTGCCACGTGTTGAGTGATTACGAGGTCGGGCCAAATCTTCCTTCATCAATTACCCCCCACTCCTCGTGCTAAGGGTCTTGCCTTGGCGCGGGGAGTTCGCAAGGTGGCAGGTGGATTTGTCCCGTACTTTGAATCTCGGTTGACTGATAGCGCGAGGTGCGTTGTCAGGGTTAGTTTCTTCAAGCGCCCAGAAGACGGAAGACACGCCGACCTACCTATAAATGTTGCCAGACATGACAGCGCACGCTTTATTTAAAAATCAAAAAGGCGCGCCGTTGGAAGACGTGACAGCAGGCGTCCTTTCAAATTTTGAAAACGTGCCGCTGCCGCTTTTAATGATGAGACGTGCGCTGTCATTCTGTCAGTTTCAGGAAGACGTGAGCCGACGCTCTGTCAATTTCAGAAAGACGAACGCCGACGCTCTGTCAGTTTCAAAAAGACGTGCGCCAATCACGTCTCGATCTCAGGGGACGTGCAGTCAGCGCGACTGCGGGCCGTTGGATTGGCTTTGATCTATGCCGTTGCTTCTTGGTCACTGTGGGTATAAGTAGTGGGGGAACACAGTCGCTTTCACTTCTGTGCTGCCTCTTGAGCTCGCGTACAAGTTTCAGCTCGCGCCCAGGCTTTCAGTTCGCGTTCTCAGGTTTACGCTCATTCAAGTTCTCGGTCTTGTTGAAGCTTTTTTTCCGGGTGAGTACCTCCCTGGAATCCACCTTCTCTCCTCGATGTCTAGCTCGGAATGCTCAGACGGTCCTTCAAGTGGGTCAGATGCAGGTTCTACGAACCGAGTCGCATCCCCTGATAGTCCTAGCGAGCCAGAGGCAGAGCTCGAGGAAGAGTTCGAACCCGTAGGTCGAGGCACCTCGGGTAGTTTGGCGTCCACCTCTCGTCGGGGTCGGACGTTAGACAAGTTTGGCCCCTCGACCATGACGCCTGAGGGACTCCAATCCCTCATTACCTATTACAACTTGCCTGAGGAGTACGCTTATTTTATACCTTCGGGTAGTTTTCCTTGGGAGTACAGTCCTAATGAGATCGTGATATACCGTGAGCAGCTCGGGGCTGCGATTGCCTTTTCATCCCCTCTTTGTCGAGGTTTTGAATCACTTCGGCGTTACGGTCGGTCAGCTTCACCCGAACTCCTTTCGCAATTTGGTGGGGACAATCTCCCTATTTAGCGAACAGGGCTTTCCTTTAGACTTGGAGATCTTCTCTTCCATCTTAATGCCTAAGAAGCAAGCGGATCTCCTCTCCGGGCGTAGGCGGGCGTATTACTTGTCACCTCGCCCGGGTTTTAAGCTTTTACACGATCTTCCTAACAAGGTCCCGGCGTGGAAGCGTGACTACTTTGGGGTGCGAAGTGTGCTGGGGTGGCCGTTTCAGACCGGGTGGGGGATGGCTGCCCCTGACTCCGGTGTTACGCTTGACAAAGAGACGGCGAAGGGCCTCCAGCAATGGGCGCGGCTTGGGCTAAAGTGCCAACAGTATCTGACGGAAGCCAAGCTCATTGCGGTCGGCCTGAGCTCATGTAGGTTCCTTACTTGGAGGTTCTATTTTGCTCTGTCTGGCTTTTTCCTGATGCCGAACTCTTTTTTGTAGGTGTGATGGACTCACGAGGGACTCGTGGTGAGCGCTTATTTCAAGGCATGAAGAGGAGGAAGCGAGTCGCCAAGCGAACTCGCGCCAAGCTGCCCCAGGATGCGGAGCCCGAGGTACCGGACTACCCGTCGGGGGATCCGCCCAAGAAGCCCGAGATGGCTCCTCCAATGCAAGAAGCAACAGGGGGCCCGTATGTTGAGACTACTTACACAGGGGCTCCCACCTACTCTGGTGCTCCTGCTTACTCTGGGTCTGCTCATACGCGAGCTAGGCCCTCAGGCTCGGGGGCTCCAGGGGAATTCAGGAGTGTGTTGTAGCCGACCTACGCTCTTCAAAAGAGTAAGGTGGCCATCTTCCCCGAGGAGGTCGCGGCGTGGACCGATCTCCCTCTGCACCAGGTGGCCTGCCGTGCTGTTACTCATGCCATGGTGGTAAGTCAGACTTTTTATCGAGCTCTTTTGCTTTTATCCTTCTTGCCGCGTTGTTACTCACTCGTTCTTTTTGGAAGGTGAACTCTTCTATTCACGCCTTGGCGGCCCAGGTGGAAAGGAGCTCGAGGCAGGCGCGAGCTGCTGAAGAGGCTCTTCGGGCTACTGAGACAACTTTCCGAGCTGCCAAGGTGGCTTCCCGAGCTGCTGTGGCCAGGCAGGCGAGGTCTCAAAGGGATGCCGAGGCCATGGGAGTCGTAGTGAAGCACATGGCGGACCTAAGGCTGGATTTGCAGATCATTTCTCAAGGTATTGAAGATGCCAAGAAAAAGGTTGTCGATGAGTACATCGCCTCGTCGTGCTTTGAGGACCTAATGGTGGATTCGTACCGAAGGGGTTTCAAGCTAAGCCGGTGGATGATCCGGAATACGTACCCCAAGCTCGATATTAGTGTCATATCCACTTCGCGCATAACTCAGGAGATGGCCAATGCTGCCGATGGTGAGCCAGACTCCGAGGGCGAGGTAGGGCCTTCGGGAATCGCCGAAGTGCTTTCTGATAATGAAGAAGTACCTCCGGGCTTGTAAATTTTTTTTTAAAATGTACTACCTTACTTTGAAATGGAATGACTTTTCTTTTGGTTAAGTGTTGGCTGTTCTTTCTCCCGATTTGAACGTATTTGCTGAATTGACCATACGTCCAATCTGTTTCCTGCCCGGATTACCGCACTCGCACGGCCTATAGGTAGTATCGCCTTAGGTTGACGATGTTCCATGCTCGGGGTACTTGCTTACCCTCTATGGTTTCGAGCTCGTATGCCCCCCCGAGTGCTTTCTTTACTCTGTAGGGTCCTTCCCAATTTGGTCCGAGTTTGCCCACGCAGGGGTTCGGGTACCATGATCTTACGGAGAACCAGGTCACCGACGCGGAAGCTCCTCTTTTTTACTCTGGCGTTATAGTATCGAGCTACATTTTGCTGGTAGGCCGTTGTTCGAATGTGCGCAAGGTCTCTTACCTCATCCAATAGGTCGAGGTTGGTGCGTAACTCATCTCCGTTTGTCTGGTCGTCATATGCTTCTAGTCGCAATGTAGGTATTTTGATTTTCGCCGGGATTACCGCTTCGGTGCCGTAGGTGAGGTTAAAGGGGGTCTCTCCCGTGGCGGTTTTTTCCGTAGTTCGGTGAGCCCACAGGACACTTGGTAGCTCGTCCGCCCACAACCCTTTGGCTTGGTCTAGTCGTGCTTTCAGTCCGCGGAGGATGGCTCTGTTCATTACTTCTGTCTGACCGTTTGCCTGCGGGTGTGCAACCGACGTGAAGTTCTGACGAATTCCCATATTTTGGAACCATTATTGGAACTTATATCCCCTAACTGTTTGCCGTTGTCGGAGATTAGTACCCGAGGTAGCCCGAAGCGACATACTATGTTCTTCCAAAAGAAGTTCTGTATATTTCAGGCTGTAACTGTTGCCAGGGGTTCGGCTTCTATCCACTTTGTGTAGTAATCTACTGCCACCACTAGGAACTTTCTCCCACCTGTTGCTGGCGAGAATGGCCCCAGAAGGTCGATGCCCCATTGTGCAAAGGGCCATGGACTGGTGAGGTACTTGAGGTCGGCAGCAGGCTGATGGTGGATATTGGCATGCTTCTAACACTTGTCGCATTTTATGACGAGATTGACGGCTTCTGCCTTCATCGTTGGCCAGTAATATCGTTGTCGAAGTGCCTTTTGGGCGAGGGCTCTGCCCCCCAGGTGTCCGCCACACAGACTTTCATGAGTGTCGCGGAGTACGAGCTCGGCTTCGGTAGGTCGCAAGCAACGCAGGTAGCGGAGCATGTAGGATCGTCGGTACAACCGTTCGTCTATTATGACGTATTTGGCTGCCTGGCGCTGCACCGTCTTGGCTGCGTTGCGG